AAGTATCATGTTTTTAAAATTTTCATCAGGACTAAGCTTAGTATTTTTGTTTTTGAGAAAATCGCCATGAGAGATTTTTAAAAAAATGATGATATGATTATAAAAAAAAATTTCAATAACAAAAGAGTAGCATGAACTTTGTGTATCAATTCTTGCATCGAAACTTGTTTTTCACTTATTATGAATCTTTTTGGTAATTATATTTTTTTTCCCAGAATACATAGTTATTTTCCAAAAAATTTTATGATACTTAACCACGAAAAATTTGGCCTTGATGAATGGGTTTAAATATTAGATTTTGAAGGTACTGGCTGCATTTGATCGCTGCATGGGGGTTCTTTGGAAGGCAGCCAACCCATAGATAAACAAAATGTATAACATTTGACAATTTTGTACAACAACCGTTAAATTGAAGCACATACTTGACTGTTAAAGCACTTAGCTATCAAATATGGCCCCGAATATTTTATGGACACTTATTAATAATGATCAAATAAAGCTTCTTCCAAATATAATACGAAAAAACTAAGCTAAAGGACTTGTATTTGACGATTGTCTAAAAATTGTCAAATTTCTTGAGATTATTTTACGGTTAGAAAACCATCAAATAAGAGGGGGCCCATAAATGACATTTCATAACAATCATTTATATGGTAATTTAGTCGTCATTGTTGTGCTTTTTCTGTGATAATGTTGAACCAAATCAATTTATCTGATGGTTAATTATTTTTTTAATATTAATAATTTTTGTAAATAACCATCAAATAAGCATTTTTCTCAATCTCGGCCTCAATTTATATGAATTTTTTTTTTATATTTTACTGTTAAGAAACAGCAATCTGGACTTTTTTTGGAAAAAAAAATCAATTTTTTTGCCTCTTCATTGGTTCATCCTCCTTCGTTGTAACATCCATATATATGATTGCCTCCATCTTCTAGTCTCCGGCCGCTTTAAATCAGCCTTCTCAACAAGAGCTTAAAGCCTCTCCTAATCATGCCATCGTTGTGGCAAATCCTAGGGTTTTTGAACTCTTGACAAATTTGGTGGTGTTTCGTGGTCAATAATCGACAATTCATTGTGATTTGGGGTAACAACGCAGATTTTTTTTTTTATATAGATTTGTATAATAGCTGTATAACCTCTACTCCAATCTTATTCAGAGGCCTCTATATTGTTTGATTTACCATTCTTACTAAGTGTATTCAGTTATCTTCTTTGAACATGTTCGAACCACTCAAACGATTTTTCACTCTTTTTTTTTTTCCAACAGTAGATGTCAAGCCAACTCTTTCGTATGTATGATCATTACAAATCTTTTTTTTTTTTGTATCACCATAACATCCTTATCAGGACTATTCTCATTTTCTTTGTATGCTATCCTTTAAAAGTCTAACATTCACTGTCATATATATGGTATTGTTAGTCTAATATTTTCCTTTTACCTTGTTAGTTACTTCCCGATCACAAATAACTTTGATATGTATATATATAGTTTTTTTCCATTTAAATCACTCAATTTGAATTCCTAAAACTTATTTGAAAATAATATGAGAAAATTAATTCCTAGTTAAAAGAAAGTAGGACATAGTGAAGAAAAGATCGACATTTCCATTCTTTTTTAATGGCCAGAGACAGCTATATTTGGACATTAATTTATAGTTAATGATGGTGTATTATCATAAACGCATCTTAAATATAGGCAGCTCGGATGTGAGATTAGGATGGTCAAGTTAATAGAATATAGGTGCCGATCGACGGCCAAGAATGAGATTCCACCCACTTAATAATTGGGGAGTGCCTGATAATTAAGGAACGTAATATTCCACTTTATTACTATTTATAAATCACTCGCAAATTAAAAAATACATTACTCCCTCAATTCCTTCGGTTCAAAATATAAGAAAACTTTATTTATTTACGTTTATCAAGAAAATCAGTTAAAACTAATTTAAAACAAGAAATACGTAAGGCATATAATTGTTTTCCTCAAATATGCTTTTATTAACAAAGTTAATAAGTAAAATGTGCAATACGCTAATCAAAGAGGAAATAAAATATATAGGAGCGATATTGAAAAAAAAAGAGCCCCTCCACCTCCAAATTCCACATTTGTTCTCATTTAAAAAAAAGTATTAGAAATGTTTTGTTATATTTCCTCTTACCTATATATTTATTTTTATCACTTTCTATATTTATGAAATCAACAGGGTGAAAATAATAAAAACTCATTAATTACCCGACAAGTAACTTATATTTAGAAACAAATTTTTCTCTATAAATAATTTATAAATAAGATCAGAGCGATATATGAAATAAAAGGCTACAAACGGATCGGATTAGCTTTACGTGTGATTATGAAGCTCAACAAGCAAACAATAAGCACGGCTGCAAATCTGACTTTTAACTTCAGCTAATGAAGGATCGTAAAAACAAGTGACATAAGTTTTTAAACAGTTTAATCAACGCAAAAACTCTATTTTTTACCCCATTTTTTAAAAAGCTGATATACAGAATTTTTTTGTTTTTTAAAAAAATCTCGTATTTTTATTTTCATCTTACTTTATGAAAAATACCAAAACAAAAAAGAATCGAAAATCAAATGTAAAAACACAACATTCAGGAAAAGGATTCGTGCTAATAACTGTAGAAACACACTACCTCTTCGTTCCTTAAAAACACTTGCTAATTATGAATATTGGTTAGAATTACTATTTAATGAAACTTTTAAAATGTATAACTATTACAAAAATTATCTTAAAAAAATAAACAAATATGAGAGACAAAGTGTATTAGACTCTTTTATTTAGAACTAAATTGGATATCAAACTAGATATATGAAGGACAAGAGGTAGTATATTACAAATAATATGATCCAAAATTGTGATTGCCTAGTGCTTGTTTGGCATCACTTGTTTGGCATCACTTATATAAGCACTTATAAGTAAATTTTATGTGAGTTGAAACAAAATTCCTGTCACATATTTTTCCTATGCTCTATAAATCATAATTCAAAAGTTGTTTATTACTCATTTTAGACGGGCTGCTGGAGAATCTTGACGGCTACGTTATACTCAACATGTGCAGTACAAGATCAGCCTAATAATATAATATACCGTACAGCTGTACTTTATTACAGGATTCACTTTCTTAATTCTATGATGTAACAAATAAAAAACGAGTTGACAATTGGGGTGCTAATTAAATCATCTTTCAAGTTATAATTGGGAATCGAAATTTGAGGCATCACGTGATGTTATGCCGGGACTTGGGACATTACAAGTTGTCAATTCTGCAAGCTAATATATACTGGCTCTACTTTTTAATATAAAAGCTACTCCTCTTGTCCTACTCATAGGGCAGAGAAAAAATACATGTTTTGGTCCTATTTATAGTGCATTGAGAAAATTTTTTTGTATGGATATACAATGTTACCCTTTATTTATTATTATGTTAACTTTATTTACATGAGGTATAATATATATTGAATAGGGATAAAGTTGAAAGTTGTTGAATTTTAAATGAGAGTTAATTAAGTTTAAGGTTTTTATTGGTCTGTATGAAATATATTATAGGTGACTTATAAATAGAACCACAAAAGTATTTAACTACTTTGACTAGATTAAAAAGGTTATTTTAGTTAGTTATTTGTAATAAATAAGCATTATCTTATATAAAATATCCTTACTAATCATATACTCCTCCGATTCTTAATATAGAACCTAATTATTGAATTAATTTTGATCATTAAATATGAGACTATTTCTCATATTTATCAATTTTTTCTAAATTACCCTTATGGATACTCTCTCAACTATAATCAGGTGGAAGAGGGAGGAAGGATATTAAGAAAGATGATTATGATATTTTAGGAAAAGCATATCATATTTTTTATAATTAATTAACTTAGCTAACTTCTTTAATCTAATCAAATTAGTTAAATAGGTTTTATATTAAAGACCGGAGGAGTATATTAGCTAGAATTACCATTTGATGAGATATTTAATATATATAACTACTACAAGAACTACCTTAAGAAAAAATAGATAAATATAAAAGACAAAGACGATTGAGATTTTATATTTAAAACTAAATTAGATGTTAAACTAGCTTTTATATTAAGAACCAGATATAGTATTAATTAATCTTATTTTCTCATCCCTTTCCATAATTTTTTCCGCCCCCCAAGTTACCATATGTATAATCAAATCACAAAAAGATCTAAATATTCTTTTAAGAAATGACTACATCAATTATATTTAGTAGGATTCGGCTGCTTCCCCATGTGCAATCAGTCCAACAAGAAGTTTGACTTTCTTTTTTAAACAACAGAGTATATTTCTTGGTACATCTTTCTAATGAATAGTGACATAGAGACAATGATATAAAAGAAAATAAATATAAACAGAACAAGCGAAAATAACATCTAAATTCCTTTATGACCCACTCACGGCGTATGATCACAAAACTTAGAATTCTAAATCATATGAAAATTTAAAAACCTAATTTATATTATAAGAGATGATATAAAAATTTACGCGTATTCATAAATGAATTTATAAGCATACATAATATTTTAACAACTCACAATAATAAAATAACAACTGCGATTAAAAAACCTGACTCAATAAATATACTTAACCTAATAAGTTTTGTCCTAATGTTACGCGCACCGATGTAGAAAATACTCAAAACAGGCGGATTGGATGTGATGGTAGGCAGCTAGATGTGAGATTAGCATTGCGAAGTGAATATGATTGGCGCTTAAAATAAATTTGAATTTTTTAAATGCTTATATATGGCGAGATTATATATAATAACCCTTCTAATTTTAAGGTATTAAAAAAACGGCGGCAAACAGAATAAATTCAATTAAGATATTCAAAACAAAGATATTATTGAAACACAACACCATGTTTATTTATATATATCCCCTCCCACTACTTTCCTTCCTTCCTTCATCTCTCATCTCTCTCTCTCTCTCTGAAAGTAAGAAAACATCATGCTGCTTCGCCTGCAACAGAAGCCCTTCTTCTTCTTCTTGTTGAGCTTCACAATCTGGTCATGGTGGACGCTTGACGGCGTCGTTTCAGAGCCTCAGACGATTTTTGTGAGGATAGGGTGCAGCCAAATCAACGTCAGCGATGTGTCCATCTTCCAGAACAACCTAAACGCAACGTTTCGAGACATGAGAGCGCAGATCAGCAACCAAAGCAAACACTTCACCACGGCGGAGGTAGTAAAGGGTGACAACCCCACTTATGGGCTTTTTCAATGCAGAAACTACCTCTCCATTGCCGACTGTCTCTCTTGCTTCGACTTCGCCGCCGTCCAGATACGCAACTGCTCTGCCTCCGTCGACGGTGCCCAAATCATATACGACGGCTGCTTGCTCCGGTACTTGGCCAATTTCAGCTTTTCTTAAATCGCTTATGCACATAACACATTATAACTCATATGCTATTATATATTTGAAGCATAGATTAGCACATCTAAGTTTGCTATGTAATTATCCTGGTTTATCACTAGTATAAATACATTATATTAATTAATGTAATACAAGAAATTCAGTTTCCCAAATAGTCCGTCACAATAAAATATTTTTGTTCCTCTCTTGTGTTTTATGCAGGTACGAGAGCAATACCTTCTTTAACCAGTCCACAGACGCAGGAAACAACATTTATTGTGGGAATGAAACAAGAAATTCAACTGAACTTGCTTCAACTGTGCAACAAGTGATAAAGAATCTGGAAATAGCCACTCCAAGAATCAATGGTTACTTTGCAGCCACTAAAACGAGAGTACCTAACAGTAACGGCTCAAACATTTATGCCTTTGCTCAATGTCTTGAGACTCTCACACAAAGTGGTTGCGACAATTGCTTGAACATTGCCTTGAGAAACTTTCAGATTTGCCTCCCAAACTCGAATGCCAAGACTTTTGATTTTGGGTGCTTCATGAGATATTCCACCACTGCCTTCTTTGCTGATAATCAAACCACTAACATCAATCTCTTCTTGAAAGAAGATGGGTTATAATAAACTTTTGAAATGGCTTCCATATTTTGCGTATATATGCTCCGGTGAAAATTCGCTGGGTCAACATTTTTCTTCGTGACTTTTAGGAGATGCAAGCACGAAGAAGGCCATTATTGGTGGAGTCGTGGGAGGAGTATCTACTATTTTGATTATCCTTGCATTATTTGCTTTGTATATTCGAGCAAAATCATCCAAGACGGTTCCTACAGGTATGATAACTGAAAAGGTCTTCATTATTTAATTTGAAATGATTTAATGTCATGCTTTGATTTTGTTGAGAGATTTGTCCACTTTGGTTTTCCTTACAGGTGATATTTTGGAAGCAACTGAGTTAAAAGGCCCGGTCAATTACAGGTATAAAGATCTAAAGTCAGCGACAAAAAATTTCAGTGAAAAAAATAAACTAGGAGAACAAGCCTTTGGTGATGTATACAAGGTGAACCTTATAAATTTAAACATTTCTTTTCCGTATTTCAATGACATATCATTTAATGGTATAAATATAGGCTTGTTAATATTTGTCATACACTATGCTACGATTTCATCATACGATATCTATAATGTTTTATTTAATATATTTTCTTCTTGTATGAATTGAGCTCATGAGAGAAGCAAAGGTTGATCTTAGACAAAAAAATACTATCCTTTGCTTGATAGTTAATGTGTATCGTTAAACATCACATTACTTCAAACAAAGATAGAACTTTCTATAAGCATGTTCTACCATCGTTAAGTATAGTGTCTTTGTTGAACAGGGTACTCTGAAAAATGGAAAAGTAGTTGCTATCAAGAAATTGGTTTTAGGCCAATCCAAACAGACAGAGAAAGAATTTGTGAGTGAAGTGAAGTTGATAAGTAATATTCATCATCGAAATATTGTTCGGCTTCTGGGATGTTGCAATAAAGGCCAAGAGAGATTTCTTGTCTATGAATACATGAAAAACAAAAATGTTGGCCAATTCTTATATGGTAGACAAACTCAAACGCCTAAATGAATTTCTTCTATTGTTTCAATCAACTTTGATTCCTCTATTCTTCTTTTTCTTTTTTCTTACTCTCTGAAGTGTTGGAAATAGGTGAAAATAAAGGTTCTCTTAATTGGGCACAACGTTATGGAATAATTTTGGGCACTGCAAGAGGCTTGGCATATCTTCATGAGGAATTTCATATTTGTATCATACATAGAGATGTAAAAACTAGCAACATTCTCTTGGGTGATGATTTTCAGCCTAAAATTTCTGATTTTGGATTGGCAAAGCTTTTGCCAAGAGACCAATCTCGTCTCAATGAACCATTTGCTGGAACAATGTAAGTGAATGCATATACACTTCATCCTATTTTACCCACTTTTATTATGTCAAACAAAAACAAGAGATATTGTTAAAAAAAAAAAAATCATGTATTGACCACATGAAACCTTGTTACCTTTATTTGAAAATGATGCGTTTCAAATATGATGCAATATTTGAAAATGTGCATAAATTTTCAAATTTAGTTTGCGAGTTCATATCTTTCCTTTTCTTTATTGTGTCCTATGTATGTTTGTTGTTGTTTTGAATCCCCATGCCATAAACGATATGTTTTTGCTAGGGGATACGTGGCACCTGAATATGCAATGCATGGACAATTATCAAAAAAAGTTGATACTTCTAGCTATGGTGTTGTTGTCCTAGAAATCATAAGTGGAGAAAAAAGTAATTCATTGAAGGTTGATGATAGTGGTGAATATCTCCTTCAAAAAGTAAGTAAACCCTCAAAACAAATCTAATTAGAAAAGGAGTGCTTTTTGTAGAGGGAACTTCATGTGCAGCTCATAATGTATAAATTCAATGATCTAATGAAATATGCCTCACTTAACCCTTTGTTTCATTATATGATCATTTTGTTCCTAGGCTTGGAAACTATATGAGAGAGGAATGCATATAGAGTTTGTGGACGAAACCTTAGACACAAAGGAGTATCATGTAGAGGAAGTCAAGAAAATCATAGAGATTGGGTTGCTTTGCACACAAGCATCTCCTGTAGCAAGGCCAAAAATGTCTCAAATTGTTAGAATGCTCAAAAGAAAGAGCTTAATGGAGCATGACCTGCCTACTATGCCTATTTATGTGCATCCTAGATTTGGATCCAGAAGAGAAACCTTGGTGAATAATGGTTCATCTTCATCAAATGCTACTATGTCCACTTCCACTCTATCAGGAAGGTGATTACATCACACATGATCATACAGTTAAGGCTCACTTGAAGTTTGACCCTAGCGAGTTTACAATGGTGAAAATGGAAAAGTAAATAAAGTGTTCTCCTTCTTTTTCCATTGTGCAAGAGTTATGAGAAATCATGGCAACTTGGCATTTGGTGTAAAATAATTTATTGAATATGAAAGCCTTTGAATCATGATTGTACTATACTATATGTGGTATTTGATATCCTAAAACTGCCAAATGCTAACGTGTGTTTGATTGTTTTCTACTTCTATTAATACTATGAACTTAGGTTCGTTCACTACCAGAAAAAAGGCTTTTCACGGCGGTTAATAGTGGCTTTTCATGGCGGTTTTGAAGGCGAAGTTAATAAAGGCGACGTTGAAAGGTAAAGAAAACACGGCGGTTTGAAACCGCCGTGGAAAATCGATTGTCCACGGCAGTTAAACAAAAAGCTGCCGTTGAAATTTGACTTTCAATGACGGTTTTTTTATTAACCGCCGTTTAATATACTTTTAACGGCGGTTATATATATAACCGCCGTTACAAATATTTTTTTTTAAAAAAATTCTGCTTGATTTTCATTTTTACCACCCTGCAGTTTACAGTTCCAAATAAATGTAGGCAGTGCGGATCACGCAGAACAAGACCAATTAGCTAGTTATTCTTTTACACAATGCGAAAATAGGGAAACCGGCCAATAGAACTAAGGGGTTAATTAAGACCAAGGAACACGTATTGGCTAGGTCCAACAATTCTGAAATAGTAGTAACTACTTCTCTGTACAATAGAAATCATGAACATGTACATATAAGAGGGAACCGAGAGAAAACATCTAACAATGAATTTTTTGAGAAATGACCTAACTATTTGAAAGCTAAATTTCAATAGTTTGTACCAATGTTGTTGACAAAGTGTCCCTCATCAAGTTGATGTCATCTATGAGATATGGCACAGTATTTTGAAATATCTGTTAATAAAAAATAACATAGTAAACTTAGTCAAAAATGTGAAATGAATTGAAGAACGTCATGCAATGTAACTCATCTTTACCTCGTCTAATTTCTCAGTCGTTCCTATCTCAATTATGTCATTCATGTAGCGGATGAAATAATATCCACACTCAACATGTCCTTGTTGATAACGGTACTAAAAAAATAAGATATAAAATTAAATATTAGACATTATTGATTATAAACATTAACTTTAATTCATCCAAAAATGTTTAAAAGTTAGTTCAAAACAACATATACCTTTGGAAGAATCCATGTTGGTGCTTGTCTATTTTATTTAATCGCCACAACATTAAAAGTATGAAAAGCCCTATCAATAGTATAAGAGAAAATGATATTAGCGCATGCTTGTATAAACTTCACAAGTAATAAATATAAAAATAAAAACTAACATGTCGATGACATCTTTGGTTTCTTCGGATGGACTTCCATAGAGTGAAAAACCAGTAAACTTTGTTGTCAAAAGGGGCACAAACAATTAGAGTCCAATGATAACTGGAAAAGGCAAACCATGTTAATTATAACCCGACACATACAACTTGTATATCTCAAATACAATAATACACTTACCCTTCCATGTAAGGTGCAAAATATATTGGCTTTCTGGTCTGAGTCATTGTGGTCATAATGTAGATTGACCTTGCTTCCATAGTATTAAATTCTTTCTGCACCCTTTGAGGACACATAAAGCCATATGTTCCTTCAAGTCCTCCGTTTCGACAGATTTGATTAAAGTGCCTGTTGTTCAAGTAAAAAACATTAGGACATGCATGAAGTATAATATGTAATAAGAAAATGATATTGTAACTTACAAAATAGCGAGCTGCATGAAGGCTATATCAAGCTCCTCAAAGTTGAGGAACTGAACGAGATCCCTCTTGTCAATGGTGAAGTCGTATGTTATATCTGAACCCATAACCCCCAATGGCATCTTGAAAGTCACAGGCTTATCCATGTTTGGCACCATGGAATGAAGAACCTCCAAACTAGAATACATAAGAGCAACATCACCAGGAAGAGGCAAGAGTACAGGATCTAATGATGCGCTCGTTGTGGCCTTCTTCATGCCGCCTTCTTCACCATGGCTTTGCAATAAGTCTCTTTGGCCACAAAATGAAATGTCCTTTAGCTTGGGCCAAGAGTCGAACCTCATCAGTAGGATTGGGCACTGGTGTACACCCCTGACCACGAACAATCAATCTCTCCACTGTCACCCTTGCTTGATTGCTCGGAATTTTGTTGCCGTGAATCGTTGTGCCCATGAATGCTCGACCACTAGCAACATGAACAGGTGAATTTTCATAATCCACATAGAGAGAACCGGCATCCCATTGTCTTCGACAGGGTCAGGGCTAGGGTCAGGGTCAGACACTGTCAGTTGCTGTGTCTGATTATTACTGCCCTTTCCGCTTTTTATCACAGGTGAACCCTGAAACATAATATGAAATTAGTTAAGGAACATTAAATAAGTTTAAATGGATCAAATGAATCTTTAGAAGATTTAAAAAGATGTGTGATTATTACCTGGGAAGGTTCAGATACTCGGGCATCTGGAATCCGCTCGTACCCATCATCATCAGAGTCTGTTGAAACTTGGCATCGAATTCGTCACGTATCTTTTGCATCTCTGCCATGTGTTGTTGACTTAGTTCAGCTCGAACTCTCTCTGTTTCTTCCTGTAGTCGTTGGTCGAGCTCCTCTTTAGATACCATGTTAGCGGAGGATGATCTAGTGCTTCTTCGTGAAGCAGAGCCAAAAAATTCTTTAATACCAATCCCTTTAGGGGTCCCTCTGACTCTTCCGGATGGTCAGCCTTTCCAATAGCAGTGGCCAAGATATCCATCCGTCCTTGAGGGATGAATGTACCTTGAGATAATTGCTCCTCAAGTGTATCCTGTATCATTAAAGCAACAAATTCAATTTAAGATAATTGAAAAAAACAATTAATGAAGCATAATTCTTAAATATTACTTACAATCCTCTCAGCAACAGCAGCAGACTGTGGAGTAATGTATTGACCCTTTTTAATCCTGCCGCCTTCCATTTTTCTTGGCGAGAAGGACGCTCAATAGGTGGAATGTAGCCAGTAGGATCTGAAGCAGCAGCCATCTGTGCATTCTTCATCCGTTCCTCCATCATACTTCTTTCCAACCCACCATACCCTGCACGAGACATGGTATGTGGGTATACATTCTGCTCAGATATTTGTTTGTTCTTCTGACTCAATGCCTATGACAATGAAACCAAATCGACAAAGTTAGTTTAGTTAAATAAAATATGACCTGATTAAAAATTAAGTTTGAAGAAACCAAACCTGAAATGCAGGGTCTTCACGTTGCTTCACAAAACTCTCCATGCCTCTCGTCACTAATAAATGAATATCGTTCCTTAGGATGCTCACCCTTTCTTTTCCACGAATATAATGTTTTGTAAGCGTGGCCTTAAAATCCCTCCACCGTTCATCAAGTTGCTTAAAACCGGTCTCTCATTTGCTTAGTGGCAGGAATATCAAATGTCAGCTGCAATACAATAATAGCATAGAGTTATAAAGTAAATAAGCAACTATAATTGAAACAAGTAGAGAAAACAATGCACAATATACCAATATATCCTCCCAAATGTTTTTCTTCAAATCTTTGTCCACCTTCTTCCAGCTAGGAATGTCAATGCCAATCTTACTGCGTGCGAGATAACCCACATAACTAGTAAATTGAGCCCCAGCCTTTCCTATAGGCTTCAGATCATCATCAAACTCCACTGTAATCCTCATAGGCTGTGTGCTCTCATCACGTAAAGCTAAATGCCTCATATGGGTTGGCCCTCTACCCTTTCTCCGGCTAGTAAAAGAGCTGTCGTCACCAGAAACCTGTTGACCGGATCCGTCCATTTCCTGTTTAAAGAACAACGAATTAATAAATGTAAGAATAAGAAATATCAAGTTAATATAAAACATTATATTATTAAGTATATTTAGCAAAAAAAATCAAATAATTCATTTAAGGCTTACAACGATTATCCTCCCAAATTCCTTCACAATGATCATCTCTAACAGCATAGTCATCATCTACCAAATCTAATTCAACTGCTTTAGGTCGAGTAGCTGTGAAAGGCGGGGTTTCATCAAGATTAAGCTCTAAGTCACCATCATCTCCACCAACTCCTTGCCTTTTACCTTGAAGCACGATAGACAATTTCTTTTTGCTAGATCGGAACGAAGAACACTTGTTTTGCTTGACTTGCCAAAATAAATGGCTCGTCTCCATATCCAAACCTCTCAAGATCGACCGAAACAAATCCAAATTCTTCATCCACTTGCACAGCATTACTATTAACCCACTTACATTTGAAGACGGGAACTTTAACTTGGTATAACTAACCTCCCATATCTCTTCTATTATTCCATAATAGGACATTGCCGCCAACATTGGGTTTTGTCTTTAGAACTAGCAAAATGCATGGCTTCCGCTACTACCATCACCCCACTATTCTGCATAGTACTCTTATCGTCTTGGGTTTTTGTGTAAAAAGAATAACCATTTATATCATATCCACCCCAACACAAAACCTCAAAAGAAGGCCCTGCAGCTAGCCTCTGTATTGTCTCAGAAGGATTGCCATCTTTTAACACTTCTCGCTTGAACCACTCTGCAAATGACTTATTATGTTCATTAGCTAGTTGCATATCACTCTTTCTTGGATTCAAGTTCCTCAGCATATTCTTGTGAGCATTTAAGTAAGGCAAAACTTCATCCGTGTTGTTTAAAATGTATAGATGTGCCTGCATTACAACTTCTCTTGACATAGACCTCACTATGACACCCCGTGTTCCCTTGCTTCTTCTCCCCTGATCATGTCGAGATTGAGGAAGACCAACTGCCTTTACCCTATCAAGATATGCGTTACAAAACTCAACTGCCTCCTCACTACATATCTCTCAACAATTGATGCCTCAGGCCGATAAGGATTCTTAGAGTACCCTTTTAGGATTTTCAT